CGTATCTGATCGATGTTATAGTTGGAAAGACCACAATATCATGTAATTGAGGATCTCAAACGAGCTATGCGAGAAAGCGCTCTTACGACAGCAAACCGTTCACCGTCTGCGCAATACGAAAAAACCCCACCTTTATCGACAGAGGATAGCTCTACAAAAGTGAGTTCACTGTAATCTTCTATGCTTAGTTGCTTCACCCAATCCTACTTATATCAGCATCTAGATCTTTTAAGAATAAAAACAATTCTTCAATCGTTGACAAGATTCTCGATTCAATTGAAGAAGAGGCTCGGAAGCAGTCTGCTGGAAAAGGAGCTCCAGTGGTCAGTTAGTAGTTTTATTTGAATTCCCAACTAATCATGTTCGCTTTAGAAAGAAGATCCCGTGATTATAACATTGTATCGGAGCAAGCTTACTGAGGCTGTTGAAGAAATGTTAAAAGCAAACGAGGTAATTTCTTACTTTTCTTATGGATTTTGCTTACTTAAATTCTTGCAGAAAGTACAGGCTGCGCAGGCTGATGTTGAGAAGTATCGTACAAAGTATAGAAAACTGGTGGAGTTATTTCGTGATGCTGAATGTATCATTTTGCTCGTTCTCTTCTTCCAGTTGATTCTATTCTTCTACTTAATTCATACGACTTTGTAGTGTCTGAAAAAGCGAAGCTAGTGATGGATTTGGAAAGAGCTCGTGCTGCAGAAGCGGAGCTGGGTACCCAACTTGCTATAACCCAGAAAGAGTTGGAACAATATAGAAGCAAGTTAAGAGCATTGGGTGCTTTGGTAAGTTGATTAACTCAGTGCTTTTACTTACTCGTATGGCTTTTTCCAGAAGTGATTTGGTTACGTTGTCTCTTCCCAGAATTTGCCTGGAACTGGTGATATTTTTTTGGTTTTGGGTTTTGAAACTGTCTATTAATACTTTGTACTGAGGACCGTGGGGTGCATAGAGTTCTCCCCCGCTTTCTTAACTAAACTTTGGACGAACTTTTTTGGAAGTGCTGATTTCGGCTACATCGTGCTGCACACTAGCCCCTTATTGTAAGCATACGGTAAGACACAACCCATAGACAATCTTTCTTAAAATTTTTAAATTTGAGGCTGTACAGTTTGTTTTCAAATATTGTATCTGTTCGACAACGTCTTTTCGTAGGGGAGGGTGTCTGGATTGCAGACCACTCCTCTATATATTGCCGTAATCTCTGTAGACGAAGCGCCTACTGTTTTCAAGTTTTGCACTCGAATAATCTTACGACGAAATTCAGAAATTCCAAGGACATGACTGTTTACATTGCAGTTACGCCTTCCACAGTAAGACACCAACCATATATGGGTATGTACTCTAATTTAGCGTGTTCAAAAATCTTTGTTCTTGTTCACTTCTACATTACCAGAGATGCTCAGTTCGAGAGCACCATGTGCTCTTACGGTCCCAGTTATCATATTCACCTATTTTGACTTTCTATGCTGCCACCCTAGTAAATA